AGACAAAGTCGCCTTGACGCGGACGCAGCTCGTCAAGTTGGCGTTCAGTCGCGTCGTCAATGCGTTGCTGGCTACGCGTGACGAATTTGCACTTCACGTGCACCCCTGCCTCACCACAAGAGCCCCACCGCGAGAGTAGATCGGCCCACACGTTCGCCGTATCATCGATGTGGTCGATTTGGTAGTGAAGACCAGTGAGAGATAACGCCCACCGTTGTAATTTGCCACGCACGTGACGTTTAACTTCGTGTGTTGGTGCGAAAACGTAGATCAGGTTCTTGTGGTCGCAGAACAGCCTGAAGCCTAAAGGGCGGACGAGAAGATGGCCCAGGTTGCGGGCAGCCCAAATGATCGGGTACGCTTCCTTCTCAATGATGCTCCACCGACGTTCCGTCTCGTCGAAAATTCCGCTTTTGCATACTAGAAGTTGGTGCTGCTGCTCGTTAGCAGGTAATGCAGAGTCCCAGTCATCCACTTGAGTCACGACGAGCCCCCACCCCAGTTCACTGGCGTCACTAAACACGGCCACTGTGGACGACGTCGTCGGAAAATGCAACAGTTGCGAGGATCCAAGCAGGGTTTTTGCGGAGTTGAACACGTTTTTTTCGTCCAAAGTCCACGAAAGAAACACCCCGGCTGCTAGTTTCTTAGTTCGCCCATTAACACTCAAAACCGCCTCCAACTTGTCATGCAACGGGCGCATGGTGCGGCCAAAGTCGAGCAACGTATCGCGCATCCACCCAGCAGCACACAAAAATTGTTGGAGGTCAGCGGCTGTAGTAGGGAGAGGAAGGGCTTGCAACGCACTGATGCGTTCAGGGTCATGGCGAATGCCAGTGCCACTAAAGATGCGGCCACACCAACGGATCTCCTTCTGAAACAAACAACTCTTACTCACGCTGAGTTTCAGCCGGTGAGTGCGGACAATAGAAAAGAATTCACGAAGTGTAGCGATAAACGTAGGCGCATCGTCCGCATAGACGAGAATATCGTCAATCCATACAAGTAGGTAGGCGTACAGCATCCCGGCAAAAACCTTTTGCATCTCGTTCTGAAAATGCGTTGCCGAATCACTCGCTCCCTGTGGAACGCGCGTAGGTGTCCATACAGTATCGGTCGTAACAAAACTCATCATTTCCTGGCTGTCAGGATGTAGAGGAAGCTGCCAGAATCCTTTTGGCATGTCGAAATCCGCGAAACCGTAAGCTCCGGCCGCTTCGTCGGCAGAATCCGTCACATCCTGGGCTGCTCCAGCGATCGGTACGGTCAGTGCATTTACAGGGCGATAGTCGACTGTCATCCGGAAATTACCTGGTGACTTGGGTTTTGCCACAGGCACAGCTGCACATGCCCAATGACTTTGGTTATTTTGTCGAATAAAGCCCATCAGCTCGAGCCGCTTCGTGTAGTCCCGAAGGAAAATGCGTTGGGCTTTGGCATAGCGCCGTGAACGCGCTCTAAAAGGTACAGCTCCGTCCACCAACTGAATTTGCAGTGGTTCAATGTCGGCAGGGGGACCAGCACCCAGGTCAATCCGAAAAATATCCTCATACTCCAGCACGGTATCGTGAAGAAAAGAGAGATAGTCAGCGTCAAAACCATTATTCCCAGCGGCGACCATCATATCTTCCAATTTACTGCGAACTTCCAAACCAGAAAGCTCGAGATCTGCACATCCATCGTCTTCAAATGGGTCCACATCTTCACTAAGTGAACCCCCAGCCAGCTGTTCAAGTTGCTGGTTTACATCAATTCCGAGGGAGACGAGCGTGTCGTTACCAAGAAGAAAATCGGTCTCTTCACCCTCCATAACCAAACAGGTCACGTCAGGTAGCTTAACAGTACCCGCTGTCGTTTGCAGCACGACATCCACCGTAACAGAGTCAAAACAGGTAACTGTAGAACCTCCAGCAACGATAGCCTCAATTGTAGATGACATGCATCTCCACACCGCTACCAAGTGCAACTAACTCGTCGACCACTGCACGAGGGATAACAGTTGAGTCAGATCCTGAGTCAGCACAATACGGCAAGACCACGAGCTCGTTGATCATCACTTCCCCTGGTTGAGGCAAAGTCCGAACCACCTTAACTCGTGACCGGTCCTTTATTTCCTTCATCTTGTCGACAGCACGTCTCTTGTCGTCATCCGTCGCTGTCGGACAGTCTCGAAGCCAATGCGAGCCTTGACAGACCCAGCAGCCAGTCTTGGGTGGCTTTGACTCCTTTCTCTGGGGTTGAGACCCAGTATTAGTCGTTGGTGAATTCCGCTGAGTGCCGTCTCTACGGGCTTCCACAGCAGTATGCTGTTCTCCACTACCGGTTTTAGTCTTCGTTTCATTATGGCTAGACCTTCGGTTAGGTCCAGATTTGGACCTGTGCTCCATCGACAGTAAGTGATACTTGTGCTGAGCCCGTGCCTTCTCTTTAATGATGTTAAAGAGCATGAAATCGTTTCTCTTCGCCTCTCTGCACTCATACTTGCAATGTCGCTTGACATCATCACGTACCATACGAGGCTCAAGGTTGTCGATCAAGATGGTGCATCGTAACTTCATACGATCAGCAAAACCCTCTGCATCTGGGTCTCCGACACCCAGTATTTTTCCTAAACCATGGTTCTCAATAATGGAGGAGAAATCACGGTAGTAGCGTAGTACACGAGCATCGATATCATTTTCTGCCAAGTCGATCTTCAGCTTCTTCTTGAACAACTCGTCCAAGTCGGGGATCTGCTCGTTCTTTACAGTACCAATGCGCTGCTTAATCAGCATGAGGAGCTCCTCACTGCTGACGTTATCCACAGCCTTCCGTAACTCGTAGAGGCATACCACCTCCAGCAACTTCCGGTCGATTGAGGATTTTACTGGTTTCATCACGGTCTCGGGTCGTTCACGACTCTCAAAACAGCGTTGCCGAATAGTTTCCTCGTACTGGTCACGTGCTTAGTTTCATTTGACCAATGCATCATGACTCCAGTCGTTCAACCACGGCGCCTTGACGAACTCGAATACCGGTTGATTTACAGACTTCATCACTGTGTCACCATCAGCTTCGTACTGATGTGACTTGGTTGCCATGCTTGCGGTCCCTTAGGACTAAAGTATACTTTGTGGTAGTTACCGCTTTGCGTTGCTGAAATGCTGGTGCTTGTTGATTGCAAGTTAAGAAGTGAGCTTTCTTTTGACGAACTCCTGCTCCTGCGTTCTACTCGACTCCTCCTACTCCTATCAGGACCAAAGGCTTCACCCTAGGCACAGCCTTGAGAGTCGAGCACCAGGGTTGCAGTAAGACTGCAACCTCATGTTGATAGACGACGCTGTAGCTTGGGATGGGGTTCTTGATTCAGGATAGCCTCCTTGCCGTTGAGGTACGCCTCCTTGCTTGCCACACACTACACTATGGTTGTATTCGTCGTTTTGGCGCCACTCCTTACACATGTCGCTCGCTATTTCTTCCTCTTTAATCGACTTGACATAGCCATCGAGAAACACGACAGTCTTCTTGTTGTGCGTCGTTGAACCAAGAAGCATCGTTAGCTGTGATTCCAGCGTTTTCTTTCTAATAGTGCACGTCATTTTCGTATTTCCACGCAGCCACATACATGCAATAGACGGGGTCTTGCGAGAAAGATGCAGCCAAATCACATCCCAGCTCGCTGCTTCAAGTGAGTACGCATAAGCGAGTGCTGTACACGACTTTCCTACTCCCGTCGGACCGACGATCCACAGGAGTGCGTACGTTTGGATGGAGCATCGAAATATCTCGTTACATTGGGCGATCATCTGACGTCGACAGTAAAGAGTTCTCGGCTTACCGATACCAGAACCGTTGACGAAAGCTGCTGATAATTCAAGCACCAAAGTTTCAGCGGTAATCACAAGCTGACTTCGATTTTCGGATGACGTCCAGGCGAGCTGCTTGGCCTCAAGAGTTAGGAAAAAAGGTGGGACCTCTACGAGAAGTGCTTTCGCTTCGGTCTCTCCGAGTCCAGTCATTGCCTCCGAGGATTCTAGGAGACGCCTATTGAGTAGATCTTCTAGAGTCCGGAAAACATGGAGTTGGATCGGATTGATATTGCCGAAAAGGCTTGGACTTTGAGCTTGGTCAGAAGCCTGGATTGTTTCACGAAATTCCTGGATAATCTCGACATCGTCTGTGCGTCGGATGGAAGTGGGCACAGTACTCGCGAACGCACCACGCGTAATTGCGTCAATTAGCTGATACCAGATTCCTGACGTCATCTCAAGTCGGCAGGGACGAATTCTAGGCGTGAGGCTTTTTTTTCTTTTGACCAACACTCAGCAGCTAATTTACTGTAAGTGAACATAAGATTTTATTTTTTGTCTGCTCTTCAAGTAGAAATAATGGCGACGTCTTCGAAGTGACTTCATTTAAGAATGCCGGAATGCACAAGATGCGCTATTTCTTCCCAAACAACAGAAAACGACAAACCAGCCGTGTACACGGTATTGTACGTACCCCGCACTGTATGTTGTGACTTGTGAGCGACCAAAACGTTCACAGGCGTCAGATGTGCGTCGAAGTCCGGGACGGCAGATCCCAGAGTGTGTGTGTCCAAGACAATACCGAGCCCCATTCGAACGAATTCGCGTCTTCACATCTGAAATTTCATGAGAATAGCAAAAGTCTCAGTTGGGAAAGCAGCAAATCTCTGCGATTGCAACTGGAAATTCTGAGCGTTTCATCTAAAATCACGCTTGATTATCGAAGTTTCAGCCTCCCAAACCTGATACCGAATTTCCGTCGATTTTGTTTCGACTGTTTCTTCCCTCAATTCTCACATTGCAAAGTCAACTCACTGTTTGTCCGGGTCTTTCGCCATGGAGGGCGACAAGTTGTCGGACAACCTCCACTCTGCGTCCGCATCACCAGCCACTTCACCGTCGTCGCTGTGGATCCGCTTCATCCAGAATGAGAGCTTCCAACCCAAGCCGACAGCCTATTCGCCGCACTCGCTCGAGGACGAGGACCCACTGATGCTCCAGCAGCGACAATGCAGGGACAAGCTCCGAGTTCTCAAACAGGTGCGCGAGCGCATCGAGTTCTATCCACTGCGGCCTATAGACGGAGATTCTCCCACCTCGTACTCGATGAAGATCTCCACCAATATGATTTTTTCGAGTGCCGACCTATCCCCAGAATGGCAACAAGATGCAAATCAGAGTGATGGTCAATCGAAGAATGCAGGTCAAAACGTTGGCATCGACGCTCTCGGAGGTCTCAAGATGCTGCTATTCGCCTTCTTCTCACCACACGAACTACTACACGTCAGCAGCGTCTGCAGGGCCTGGAGATCCTTAGCACGGGACGATTTATTCTGGGAACCGCTACTGTTCACAACAGTGGAAAAGTATCCGTTGCGGCCACTGCTCGGACTAGAGCGAGACTCAACGCACTCACATAAAGACGTCCCCGCTATCCTGGTTTATATGGTGTATCAGAAACTGAAAATTGCACAGACAGCTTATAAACCAGAGTGTAGCGACGATGGTAGCGTTACTCATACAACTACGACTACGCCAGCTCCAACGAGGTATAATGGCAGATTTTTGCAATTATTCCAGACTTTCAACCAACAGGTTGGTGCACTTCCGACTTCACCGAAGGAACCGGTATCGAGTATCCATCTCGCGTGTGTAAAATTCAATCCAACAGCATCAGCGCTGTGGACTTCGGACCGGATGGTGGGGCTGCTTTTCCAGCCTCAGGTAGATCAAGTAGCTCCCGTGGCGAATGTAGCTGTAGCACCAGACCCACAACCTGCAGTACGTGCTGAGCATGGCGCTGGTGCAGCAGACGACGAGGATGTTTACAGTGTGGCGGATGGACGGGATCGAATGACATTGAATGGATGGCTGTCTACGAAAAGACGAGTCAGTGAACGTACGTTGCGTTCGTATTTACGACAAATGCTGCTAGCAGTGGACGCTTTAGAGAAGTCGAATTGTGAACATGCGGACATTTCACCGGTAAATATCGTGGTACACTACTGCCAATCTCGAGTTCACATGATGAATGTGAAAGGAAATGGACAGTCAGAAGAGGACAGTGACGAGGAAGAAGCTGACGGAGACGACATGGACACATCTCACGAGTATTGCAGACGACGAACTCCTGTTTTTCAATTATTTCTCAGTCGGAGGAATTGTCAACACGCACGTGGCGCTCGAAATTGGCCACTTGATCCTGCTCTCGCTGTTGATATGAACATGAATCCCATACTCGATGGTAATGATGATATCGCACAGCAACGTCAGCGATTAGCGGTGGCGGAAGCAGAAGTTGGTGGCAATGACAATGGCGTCCCCATCGCTGCTGCATTTCGCCACCGGTTAGCTCTTCCACAGATCTCAATGGTGAGCTCAGTCATTCATACTGCAATGACCGTGTGGGCTTGTGGTCGATTCGTGGATGCAAACACGTCGACGGATTTGGCTTTACTATTGCGCTATCCTGAAAGCTTTTCGAGCCACTTACGCTCGTTCCTGGAGTATGCAACGTACCTTATTATCACCCACTCGGCCAATGCATCTAAACTGCTGCGTCATGAGTATTTGCGATGCTCAGAGGCAGATTTGGACTGCAACTTGCCACCTCATTGGTCCACAACACCAATTCGTGATGTTAATGAGTACAAAAGCAAGCTTGTGGCCTACTACGGTAGCTTGCCGTCTCGTGTCGACGGGCTTCTGGATGACAATAGCAACTCGATCAGTCCACAGGTGATTGACGAACTTATGCCACGGACAAACCTTGGTCTCCAGTACTTTTCCAGCGCTTTGGAGGAGAATAAACTGCGATCTGAACGCTTTGTCAGCGTCGTAGCACCATCGACTGCATCTTCGTCGTGGGTACGCACACTTGCGAGTACCCAGAGCTGTACACTGCAACGTTTGGACCTTTCACGTGCTCGTGTACCGACGTCGGTGTTGTTGCGAGAGTTGGCAACGTTGCCTCGATTAACACATCTTCGTTTACCGCGACAAATATTACGAGATGAAAATCTGGAGCATCTTGTAGCTGCATTGGCATATGCTAAGTTCCTCCCGCAGCTTCGAGGACTCGACGAGAATGTTCGTTACGCCATGGATCGATTGGAGAAATCCTATCTGATGCAACTTGATATGGTTACGTTCTTATTGCAAAAACCCAGTGCAAATACCACACCTGGGGGTGTTTAGAAAACCTCTTCGTTATCATAATTTCTTGTTCAGTTTTAATGAAAAATTTGGAGATGATTTTCATGCAAAGTGCCTTTTTGTATTTTTTTTTAGTTTTTACGTGAAGGGCGCTTGGTGAAGAGATCGACCATTGGGATTTCCTCCAACTCGCGACGAGAGCATAGGTATTCACCCAGTACGATCGTTACGCTTGCAGCTACGAGGTGAACGAGCCACCAGTCCCACATCTTCGGAAACTCCTAAAATTATGGTCAGGATTAGTGAGGGAGTATTTCATCGTTTGCGGCATGGCAACGCACCGAATAGAAGCATTGAGCGAGGAAGTCAATGAAGTAGAGAGTGACACCGAAGTCCAGACACTTTTTGGCACGCTCCACGAAGAGCGCGAGGCATACAGCACTGCAGAATTCGCAAGTGAGTCTAAAGGTCACGAGAATACTTTTATTCGTGACGAACCTGACAAAGCTGGAGGCCACAATGGCGAAGCAATTCTTGAGTCCATCCACAGTCACGACGGTTTGTGTATGGTAGGCGAAGAATTGGTCCAGTGTCACATGTGCGCCGTGGCAAATACCCAGAACAAGTCCCTGCGCCACGTAATGCGAGCACTGAAACCCGGTGTATCGTAGGCGCAATACCGCATTCGAGGGTGAGAAAGGTGTGGCTAGGAAGGCAGAGGTAGTGCAACGCACCTGCATACACAGCATCTGCAATAAAATGAGCTTGGGCGCCCATCGCGCGGCGCCGTAAAACTTGGGCATCTTCCAAGTTGGTTTTTGGCGTGATCTGTCCAAAATGACAAAAAACGGAGCAGAATCAGATTTAAGCAAAATTTTAAATCTGATTCTGTTTTCAATTTGATACTGGATATGAGAGTCAACGTCAACATCTTGTGCGCAACATGCCACTAGTCGACGAGATGACTCCTGAGGAGACGAATGAATTGCTGCGACTGCGTGAACAGCATCGCCATGCGAAGGAGGGCGAAGTATCAGATGACGACGGCTTCAGCGGTATCGGAGGCTATAAGCGACGCACGTGGGCACTATTCAGTGTCATGGGCGGACTCATTTACGGCTACAACGTCAGTCTGGCCGCCACTTTGCAGTATATTCAGGACGATCTACATCTGACATCCCCACAGGAAGAAGCTCTAAGTGCCACAGCAACTTTAAGCGACGCTGTATCCATGTTGGTGGGCGGGTATCTAGCTGACCGCTTCGGCCGAAAGGCCACTGCCATGTTCGCCTGCTCGTGCTCCATTGTGGGCGCGTTATTGGCTGGAATCGCAAGCAGCAGCTACTTGTGGCTCGTATTGTGGCGTCTGTGCTCTGGAGTAGGCAACGGATTATCCATTCTACTGATTCCTATGTACATCAGTGAGTGTGTGGACGCAGCCAGTCGCGGGGCCTTCCTCACACTGTTTCAGCTTGGAGTAAACTCGGGTGTAGCTGTGCCATATCTCTTCATGATCACTATTAGTGAGAGCTGGAGAGCCTGTCTGGCTTTTGGCAGCTTACCGGCACTTTATGTACTCTACAATTTCCATTTCCACTTCCCAGAGAGCATCAAATGGCTCCGTTGGAAGGAAAACCCGACAGATCTAGAAGATGGAGTCACAGATGTATCAGACGAAGACAGCGTCGAGAGTGTCGTCTTATCCGTCGCCATCAAACGATCAAGAAACGGGAACTACCAACGTCCATCTGAACAAGCTTCAACTACTCCTTCTTCCCCTCCAAACCGTCATCTGGAGTTATTGATCGGTATTCTACTAGCGTACGTGAATAATTGCGTCGATGCGTCTCTCTTCTATGGCCCAGAAATCATCGCCAAGACCAGTTCCTCATACTCACGTCGAGATGCCAACATCTTTGGACTCCTCTGTTCACTTGTTGCAGTCGTGTCGGTCATTTTTGCTGGTCGCTTCGTCATTGCAAGGTTCTCAAGACGACAAGTTTACTTGCTTTGTCTAGCTATCGTCTGCATCTGCTTCGTCATTAGTGGAGCAATTTTCGCGCGATATTCCACCGATGACTTTGCACACAGTTCCACGGCGTCTACGAGCATCATGATCACCTTCGCCGTACTTAACATGTTCGCTGCTGTGGGTCCAAGTATCCTGTTTGTTGTTATCCTAAGCGAGTTGTTCCAAGACAACAGCTACCGAGCACGATACATGAGCTACTGCACCTTCACCATGTCGCTGATTTCGCTGCTTGTGAACGGCTCCATGCTCACATTGTTCGAGACATTGGGTACTGCAGCTACGTTCTTCGCATACGGAGGCACATACATGGCGTGTCTGGTCTTCTTCTGGGCTTACTTGCCCGAAACCAAGCAACGCCAATTAGTCTAAGTCAACTGGACAAGTACACAGCCAAGCAAAACGCTCAGTAAATAGATTAGTAAACGCCACACACACGTGTCTGTTACTGTGATCGGACAGCAGGTTTCCCGTTCGCTCGGGTGGGTACTCGAATGCCAGAGTTACCGATAACACCGTTGGGTGTACCATCAAGTGGACCATACTGGATAGCGTACTGTTCAACACTGTGTTGAAGCTGCATGTTCTCGGTCATGAGGCCAGTCAAATGATCATTCAGCACCATGACTTTCTCTTCAAGCAAAGCTCTAGAGCCACGAGATCCATTCGCAGGTCTTGACGTCTCACGATTACGAAGAGCTTGGAGCTGAGAATCCTTCTCCAGTACTTCGTTCGTGAGCTTCTCCACTTCCTTGACGAGCGCCTTCATGTCAGCCTTGGAGAAGTGTTTCTCCTTGAGTGTCGTATTCGCTTCTTTCAATTCATGTACGTGGTTCTTGAGCTTCGCGCACTTCTCTTCCCACTCACAGACATCTTCAGGACTACTCGGGTTCTCACGCAGCTCTTGGTTCTCCAGCTTCAGCTTGGACACTTCTTCACTCATCGTTTCCACCTGGTGATAAAGCGATTCTTCTTTTGCTCTTAACTCGTCGGGCTTCTTCTCGTCATCTTGCAGGCGGAATGAACGCTCCACTTCGTCTAACCGCGTTTTTAGTTCATTAATCTGTTTCTCCTTGCGACGCATCAGTGCATCCTGACGTGTCTCGCGGTCCTGGTAGCTTCGAAGAAGAGCTGAGACGCCCATGATGCCACGAAGAAACGCACCATCGTCGATACCTTCAGCTTTCGACGCTTGCGCACCAAACTCTACATTCAACTTGCGCATCTCACGACGGAACTGATTGAGCAAACTCGTCTTGGAGTCTTCGAGCTGAGCGAGTTGTGATGTCAGCTCCTGCTCGCGCTGAACCGAGTCATCATAAGCCTTCTCCAGGTTCTTCATTGCCGTCTCTCGAGCTGCATCATCTTCGACCGAGAGTTTCGCTTGCGCTGCTCGTTTGAGTTGCTCTCGTAGCTTTGCGTTCTGTTGCTTCAGTGAAGCAGCTTCGTCTTCATTACGGCGTACATTGTCTCGAAGCTGGCGCTTCAGTTCTTCTTCAACATCCCTAGCAAGCTGCAGCTTTTCCTCTTTAGCAGCCAGGTCAGCATCACGGCGCCGAGCCTCGTCTTCACGTGCAGCGAGTTCATCTTGCAGCTCTTCTAGCTTCATCGTGAGCTGCTCGGACACATGGAGATGGTTTCTCGCGTTGTCCATCTCAGCTGTATTATCCCGGACTTCTTCGTTCAGCCGCTCGATCTCCTCGTGCAGCTGGTCGATCTCTCCATGCAAGTGCTCGATCTCTTCCACTTTCGTATCCATTTTGTGGACATTCGCGGCGTTCTCAGCATCTAAAGTATCGTATCGAGTCTGCAGGGCTCGATGTTCCCGTTCTCGTTGCAGCTTCTCGTGCATAGCGCTCTGCTCCTTTCCAGTCATCGACTGCTGACTGACTTGCAGCTCACGCTCAAGTCGCTTCACTGACGCTTCCAGTTCCTTCACCCGCATATGTTCCCTGTCTACAGCAGCCTGTTCATTAGCACGAAGCTTATGCTGTAGCTCCTTCATTGACGCCTCCATCTCCTTCGCTCGGTTCAGCTGCTTCTCTTCAGCTTCTGATAACTCCTTAGCATGTTGTTGCTTGTCAGCATGAGAGCGATCCATCAGATGTCGCGTCATCTCCTTCTCTTGATCCAATTTGGACTGAAGCTCCGTCATTTCGTCTTGCAACTCAGCCACCTCTTTCTCCTTCTCTCTCAACTGAGCCACGAGATCCTGCTTAAACTGTTCGTGCGTCGTCTTCAGTTCACTATGAACAGCATCAAGACGAATGAAATCATCGTTGGCATTGTTTCTCGTCCGCTGGTCTTCTTCATACGTCGCAATCGTTTGCTGCAAGTCGCTTAGAAGACGCTCCTGCTCCTCCCGTTCACGTTGGAGCTGCAGCAGCTCCGCGTCCATCTTCTCCAGTTCGGCAGCATACATCTCAAGTTCTCTCTGCAGTCTCGCGTTCTCCTGCTCCAGCTTGGTTCTCTCTTCACTCGAATGCTGCAGCTGAGAGTCCAGCTTCGAGTCCAAAACAGACTGTAACTGAGCTGTCTTCTCGCTCTCCTCTTGAACACGTCGCTCCATGTCACGCGCTAGCCGTTCCAGTCGTTGAGAAAGGTCTTCTTCCAAGCCATCACGCAAGGTCGAGGTATGTCGCCGCATAACGTGTTCCAGTCCGCGCTTCTCGTTACGCAGCGCATCAAGTTGGCCATTCAGCTGATCGTTCTTCATCTGCAAGCTCTCAGACTCGTACTGTTGAGTGCGGAGCTTCTCTTCCAACGAGCGAACCATTTCCTGCATCCTACGAAGTTGCTGATGCCCTTCAGTCATCTGAGCATCACGTTGCACGAGCTGAGCCGTCAGCTTCTGGAGTTGAGTCCGTCCGTCCTCTGTCGCCATAGCTGCTGAGTGTTTCTGCGTCTCAAATTGATCAGTCGCTTGCCGCATCACTTCTTGAAGTCGGAGCTCCAGCCCTCGCTTATCACTCTCCAATTGATGCACAGAAGCCTTCCAATGTTCGATCTCATTGCGAGTAGTAGCAATCTGAGCTTCCACCGTCGATTTCTCTGACGACAAGGTCATCAAGTTGCGGTTCAGCGCTTCCTTCTCCTCACATAACAAACGGACAGTGTTCTCGTGCGAGATGTTATCCTCAATAGAACGATCATGGACTCGATGTGCTTCTTCCATTGTGGCTTCAGCGTCAGCTCTGGTCTCTTCCATTAGTCTTTGCAGCTCCTGGTTCCGTGCTTCAAGACGCAAGCGCTCTCCTTGTAGTAGCTCCACTTCTCTGGTTCGTTCGTTGTCAGGAGACAAAAACTGCTCAATCCGCGCATTTAGCTCTGCGTTCTCCTTGTGTCTTTGCTCCAATTCCTGCAGGCGATGCTCCAGCTCTCGCTTCAACGACTCATTCTCACGGGCTCCTTCGTGCAGTTGATGCTGCAGTTTCTCGCACTCCGAGCGCCACTTGTTGAGTTCCTCTCCTCCCACTGTCACCTGGCCTTCATACATCGTCAATTTCTTCGCTGCCTCCTCAATATCTGATCGTAATTGCTCATTCTCTTGCGTCATTTCGTTAAATTGGCCCTCAACTTGTGACACAAAGTCGTTGTACTGGTTCTCGAACTCAGCAGACTGGAGCTTCATGGCTTCGTCATGAGCAGATTCCTTTGCAGCCAGAGTCTTGGACAACGTCTCCATTTGCTGCTTTGCACGCGCTACTTCTTCGGTCAGCTGCTGCATCTTCTGAGCTTCCTGCATCCGAGACTGGATCTGCTGTTCAGCTTCTTGAGAAGTGGCCATAAGTCTGCCAATCTCCGTACTCTTGCGTCGATTGATGTCCTTCAGGTTGTCCACAGTGGCTCGTAACTCAATGTTCTCTTCATTGATCTTGCTGAATTGAAGCTGCAATTCTTCCTCCACACGAGCCTTTTCATCCAATAGTTGCTGTTCACGCTGCTTCATAGCAGCCATGGCCTGTGCTTCAATCTGTGCACGTGCTTCTCCAGCCTCCTTTCTAAGGTTCTGGAACCGCGTAGACTCTTGCTGAAGCACTTGCGTGAGTCTCTGTCGCTCTGCTTCGACCTCACCACGGTATTTATGCTGCTCTGCAAGCTGCTTCTCGTGTTCTTGAGCCATTCTATCCACATGTTCCTGCAGCTTCCGGTTCTTAGCCAGCAATTCCTTAAAGTTGCCTTCTCGTTGACCCATTTCCTGTCTTCCGTTGTTAAGTGCGTTCTCCAATTCACTCACTTGATGGCTCTTCTCTTTAAATTTCTTCTGCCACGCTGCCACATCTTGTTCCAGTTCACTCGCCTTATTTCCTACTGCCTCGTAGTGTTCACGTAGCTCCTGGATCTGCTGCTCGAGCACACGCATTCCTTCTGATTGGTGCGTTGTCTGTTGCTTCAGTGTCGTGTTTTCTTGCATAACAGTCGAGCTGTCACGCTGCATCTGCTCCAATTGGGAGAGGAAAGAGTCATTGCTCTTTTTCAGCGTAGCTAATGACGTATCTCGGTCTTTGAGCTTCTTTTCCACCTCCACTCCTGCTTGTCGTAACATGGAGACCTCTGAACGAAGCTGCTGGATCTGGTACGTGCCTTGTGTCTTCAGTGTCTCTATCTCCTGAGCTGCGAGGTGATATTTCTCCTCCCACTTCTGTTTCTCCACTGTAAACTCAGCGATCTGCAGCTCCTGCTTCTGGATGGTTTCGCCTAGCTCTCGAATGAGCTCCAAGTTCTGTTGAGCCTCCTCAATGGCCAAATCCAGCTCCTTGCCTTTCCAGCGGTCGATGTGTCTCTTCTGGGACTCAATGACAGCACCAAGCTCGGCAAACCGTTGGATAATAACTGGCATAAGCGCATGTTCCTGTTGGTGCTCCTCCTGTTCCTCCAAAGGCACCAAAACACACGAGAATCGGCTCTAAGTCGTCGAATTCGTCGGTGAATAGCACTAAAAACGATGAAAACCTACCAGAAAGTGTAAGAAGTCGGCAAACGAGCGCACAGCCGCCTTGACCTTGCTAGGTGAGTATCTGGCGGGCGATTCCTCGAGCCCTACGGCCGATTGACGGCCTCTGGACGTCGAAAGGCGACGACGCGAAGGCTCTGGTGTAACGCTAAATTCGAAGCCTCCGTTGTTTTTTTTCTGCCTTCGACGCGGCGTGGAGAAGCCCGCGGGTATTGACGGCACCACGTCACCCATCTCGTCCTCCTCCTCGTGCTTGGACTCGCCGTTCATGGCCACATCCTGCGCGCTCCGCCTCATCATGTCGGTGCGTTTTGAACGCGCGAAAAATAAAGATGATAACTCAGACTAAGATCGACTTAAGCGGGGACGTGTTACAAGTGTGGACCACACCTTGGGCTCATTTCTTATTTCGTAGGTCAAGTTGAAGCTTGCGTTCATTATTAGCATTTTGTTTATCTTTGTACACTGGACAACGCAATCCATAGCTGCGGGGGGTAACTTTACGTTCAAAACTGGGGCGTCGCAGTTGATATCTGCGTTTGAGAAGTGTTCTCGTTCGATGACGGGTATGTGCGGTCTGGGTCGGAGAAGGTGAAGCTGTAACCAGAGCCCTCGTTTAAGCTTCTTCGCGAGTACGGATCGTACGATAATGAGGAAGCGCGAGGCACATCCATGGGCGACCGTTGTGCCTTCACGTACATGAAGTTGCCTGACTCATCCGAGCCGTGAGCAGAGTGGGGCGAGTTCGTGGGGAGTTCGTTGGTATTGGACATTGGTCGGAAGCCGAAGAAGCTGTATCGACGCTCTTTCTGCTGCGTTGCCTCAGCTTGTCGCCGACGAATAAATACGAATCCCAGTACAGCAAGACAGATGACAGCCGCACAGCCCAACGTCAAGCCCAGAATGAGACCGACGTGAGAACCGGAACTATCGCTGGTATCGGCCGCTGCAGAGGACGCAGTGACAGTCATGCTCATGAAGGAAGCCACGTCGAATCGCATCCCGTCCCCATTTGGCACCACCGCAAGTGCCATAAGTGCGTACGTTCCTTCAGTCGGAATGCTGATCTTCGTTGCAAACAAAGCCTCACCACTTCGCTCTGAAAAGTTCATGGGCTGCGCGGAATATGCCAGTGTTTTTTTCATTGAGAATGGCGAGCACTCTGTGGTGTTGCAGTAGTAAATTTTCACTTGTGGTAGAGTCACGTACTGACCAGTAGACTCGTCGTAGACTGCCGTGGTATTCACTGTAACTCCATCCGTCTTAGAGGATTGCTTCGCAACTGTCCAACTTACTAGAGCGCCGGTCTCCACTGTAAACGTCGTGGTGGATACATTCATGTTCAGCGTGTACGGACAGTTGGTGCTGTTCCCTGAGAACACGACGCTCGAGGCATCAACATTCCCCTCTCGCGGATCCGCGACAACTTCCCAGCAGTAGGACTCGCTACCATCGTTCACGTACGTCTCGCTCTCTACTTGCTGCGTCATATTCTCCTCGGTCGCGAAGATCTCGAAATATTTCACGAAGTCGTATCTTTGTGAGTCTGCGTCAGCGCCTGCGAGTGTCAACTGGACAAAGCCAGAATACCAACCGGACGAGGGAACGACAATGTTGTTGGCAGCGAACATCGCAGTGTCTGCCGAAGTAAAGTTCGCGGAATAGTCAGCAGATGATGCGGCGAAAGTGCTCGAATACTCATCGCAGCCCGTGTCGCGCTCGCACAGCTTCACGATTGAGCTCGCGATTGTGTAATACCCGCTGTCTTTCATGCCATCGTCAGTTAACACGGAGACGACCTTTAAGGGCGAAGGCAACTGGATCTCCTTGGTCGAGTTACGCGTCATCGTGGCCGTCCAGACAATGTCAAAGGTCTGACTGGCCTGCACAACGTTGTTCGTATCAACTGTCACCTCGATCTCGGAGCTGTCACTGCTCGCAAGTAACGCGTTTGAGATTAACGAATCTGCGAGAGGGTTTTGTGCTGTTACGCGGCAATAGGTCGAGGCGCTGCCATAATCTCTGTCGCCACAATATATCATTTTACGTGTCAGGTTTTAGGTTGATTAACCGCTTAAGGTACAGTAGTAAGTAACTCACACCGCGTCGACTCGGACTTCCTTGACGACAATATTCGCGAATGTCTGGAAGTAATACAGTAAAGATTCGTCATCGGCGTTGCCAAGCACGGCGACTGCGGCCACTGTGTAATTTCCTTCTTCTGTGAAGGAGAATTCGTCCAGCGTCTCGAAATACGTGGCGTCAGATCTGGAGAAATTACCGGACTGAGCGGTAGTGAATGTATCATCCCCCAGGATACTCGGGGAGCACCGTCGCCGCGAGGTGCAAGTTCGAAGGTATGTGGAGATGATCTGTACGTTGGAGCGGGCGTTGTCGGAGCTGAGGGTTATCATTGCATCAGGCGGCATAGGCACGTCCATAGCGTTGGACGACTTGGCATCGAGCTGCACACCCCATAACAGAGCGATGCTCTCATTGGGCGCGTAAGAGGACGCCACAAGAGGGATCGTCACGTCCACGGCGCACGCCGAGCCGGAGTAGGCGGCCAGTGCTGTTACGAGCGACGCCGAGCCATCGATCATCCAGCAGTTCGTCACGTCAGCGATCGCCAAGCTGGTTGAAAGCAGCAGCGCCGCCCCCACCGCGTGAAGGGAGCGCATGGACACCGTCCTAACCAAACAAATGTGGTTCGAACAGACCAGTTTTCTGTAAACGTCCCTGTCTGCTTCAACTCGCAAAGGTCGGAGAAGAGAAGGGAGGGTTTGTAAGGGTTCTTTTAAGAGCATTATCGACACTGTCTTAATAGCGAGGCTTTGTCAATTTCCAGAAAAACATGTTGACGGCTACGGTACTTCTTGCAAATACATGTACCGGTATAGACAAAGTTATTCAGTCATAGATTGGAAAATATCATGGAGTTCGTATGCGGCTAGTTTTGGAGCCGATAGTTTGGTAATTACGCTGTATCCGCGCGGTGCTAGAGAACGGCCTTCTTGCTTTTTACCAAAATTGGTCCAATTGACATGGTGTAGCAGCATTCGCGGCAACACCCCGGCACGATCATGCACTGCCATCGCTCATCGGTCCGACTGCAGTCATTACATTTTTACAAATTGCCATGACCAAGTGTCACTCGATTGCAGTGTTGTTTGCGGCAGAAGTGTCATGGGTTCAAGTTCACTTGACTGGTGAAACCGTCTGAGCAAGGGTTGAAAACAGTGTCATTTTGGTGTGTCAACTCGACACCTCTCACCAAAATGAAAGCCATCGATCGCCCTACGATTGATAGTCATACATGGCATTGACACTGTCAATTCGACAGAATGTAGCAGGCACAGGTTGTGGCACAGCAGCTGTGTCATTTTGTACTGTAACGTTAGCCATAGTTATTCGCACTTACTCGAACAGTGTTTGATGGAGTGGCACACGACGCAGCACGAACTGGCGTTCTGGACATTCAGTCCGAGCACACTTCCAATCGCTCTTACATACGGGGGCCAGTGGGAAGGGCGCCATCCGAAGTCCGAGGACGGCAATCAGTTGCTCAGTTCCGCTGCCTGGCATTTCGCTCGTGCCCCGCAAACCTCCAGCTCTTCCACTCCTCGAGATCGCTAGTGTCCGGCCACCATGTACGTTGCAGTCGACTGGCAAGACGCTGGCTTTAGGTGTTAGGGTCTTTGATTTACTGACCGTGGTGCTTTATGTAGGGTGACGTTCAAAATGGACGGCAGTACAACGTACTGCTACTACATCTCAGAGAAGTACTCGCAGGTACCGCCCGTGGAGGACGACGTGCTAGTGCACGATCAGGGTAGCTCATGCCCCATTACAATTCGCGTGGATATCGCCGACGAGCTCGAGAAGAACGCGCTCATCCCGTTGCGGTACACTGCCACGCTGGACACGTCGTCAGCCGATGCCAACTTTGAGTTCCCAAACCCCATTTTGCGCGCTCCCGTTCCTGGCTTTCTTCTTGGCCACAATAACGCTTCAGCCGAGTCCTCTAGCAGCACGAACGAGACCACATACGACGTGGCAGTGGCCAATGTGGTCATGTGTGACTGGCGTTCGTGCGATCTTTTCTCTACAGCCGGCGAGAGCGCGACGTACTATTCGTCTAGTAATAACCCGAACGATTTCACTGACAATGTGGCAGTTTTCGGCTCGTGATCCCCAAAGACGGAAAGTACTCGGGATACGTGCATCTCGTGGTTAACATCGCCGGCAACTCGCGAGCCGACTTTGTGACGTTCTTCCCTGTTCAGATTGGTGACGTCGCTGGTACGACACCTAGCAGTATTACCACTGATGGTACCACCACGTACTGCTGGACATCTAAGGACGTATCTGTCTTCGACCCCAGCGTTTCCGGGGATCTCACCATCCGTACGGGCGAATACTGCCCTGGAACAATGTCGATGTCTCTCTCGTCCACTGAAGTGAACGTTGGCGACACGATCGATATCGCGTGGATGTTGGACATGTCGGACTCGTCCACTGATGACTCGACGCTTATCGCCGAGGTGTCATCGTCGGATGCTATTAAGAACCCACGAACTGACGTTTACTCTGTCGTGCCCGTCTCCGTCTTCAGTGGTTGCCAGCGAAATTTGGCTGGTGCGAACTGTTCTACATACACGGGAGATGAGTCGTCTACCTTTGCTATTGCAGAATTTGACGATATGAATCTCACAAGTGACGCTGTGAGCTACTCGACGAGCTACACGTTCAAAAACTCGGGCCAATACACCATGTTCGGTCGAGTTGCAATGGTGACTGTGGATGGGGAACGTATTGACATGGCTATCTACTCTAGTGTGACAGTATCCGTTGATGGAGGCAGTGGAGGCAGCAATCTGTTCCTGTATGTGGGTGTTGGTATCGGTGCAGCCATCTTGCTGGCAGGTATGCTCTTCTGCTACATGAAAAAGCGTCACAATAATGTGAGCACAAAGGATATCCCGTTCCGACAGCCTGTGAGCGGTTTGGACCGTGCAAGCGACTACACTATGGCGTCTTCGAACTTTTTGTCACACAAGACACCGGCACAGCTGCAAGGACTGGATATGAGTGGTGACTACAGTGCTGACAACGTTGCTCCGTCCTACCTTGCCGTTAACGCTGCAGATAGCGGCGTATTCGACAAAACAATTCGCGCAGAGCCTGGTCAAATGGCTGAATCAGTGGAAAGCAGCGAGTCGTTCTCATTGAACCCGTACGACCGTGCCAGTTTCGCAGGTTTAAGTGACGATGTTGCAAGCTCGAGACCTTCAGAAATGAGCAAGTTCTCGTTCCAGTCTGGCTATGACGACGAGTCTGAGTGGGAATACGATACTCGACAGAATCGAGGTGTTGACAGAGGTAGCGACTTCAGTGACTTCTTATCGGATCCTGGCACCAGTTTGCCTGCATCTGGCACGTACGAAATGGGTCGTGCTACCAATATGCCTATCTTGGAGGAGGATTACTTGGATGAGCCCCACGATTTCAGCAAGGACCACAAGCCCAACCAGTCTAGCTCTACTATCGACCCACGTAGCACGACCAGTTCGGGCTGGACTGTCAACTAAACACGCACATGTAGTGAGGATGAGGCTTTGTTCCGCAAAGGAACATGGTGAGTGATGTCGTGTTACAAGATTTTATTATTATCAAGTGAGATGAAGTAGATCGAGGCATGCAGGTGATGTAATCATTCGCTTGCAGCCAAGAGAAGGATGATCGATCATGAGGAAACTGGAGAGCATTATTCCAGTTTGCGAGGCAATTAAGAGATCATCAATGTCTAATGATACGTGCAATTTCATCTTGCTCTTGCATTTCATAGTGCTATCAAGTCAAGACCTCCCTACAACTTCACTTCCTACTATCTGCATCGCATATGACTACACAGCGATGTGGGCGTGGTCGTCCGACCCATGCATTGGCGGCGGGCTGGCTAACTCGTCGTCGGCCTCTTCGATGGTTCCGTAGGCTTCTGGCTGGATGGACAGCAGAACAGCGCGATCGGTAGCTGAAGTTGAAGACGGGGCGGTGTACTGAGACGGGCGCTCATTAGACGAGTATGAAGAAGATACCGATTCATGCCGCGTACGACCGCGACTGACAGTCTCAACATCTACTGACAATAGCGATGACAGCGAAGCCATACGGTCTTGCTCCTTAAACGAGTTCACGTGCCCAACCGAGTGGAAATGTGCCTGCAGAATCACCTTCAACTCGTCCTGAATGCACAAAATACGCGCTTCCAGATCCACATCGTTCGCATCGGGTCCGAACGGACACTCAATCGACGAAGCCACGTTATCCAATGCAAACAGCAGCACCGCAGCAATCCCCACGTACAGAGGCGTCATAAACCCCATCACTGGAGCTAGTGCAGCTCCCATCAGCAGCAAATACCCGACGAAACACACGTGTAAGCATTGCGCCAGGTTGAATGCGATCGGCACATTGCACAAGTTGAAGATCCTCGTGTACATCTGCGGGAGTGTCGACACGATTTTGTTAAGTTCCATAGCCTGTTCCACCGTCACGTAGCTTTTCCTTCGCGCGCGGTTAATCGTACGTCGTAGCCAAAGTTCCACCACAGCTGCACGCATCTTATTTGAAGACCCCACCACATTGCGCTCTCTATTCCACGTGCGTTCACCGAGCGTCAGTACTTCGGTGCTCGAGAACTCGTCTGCCTCCTTCTGCGTCAACAACGCGCGCAGCTCCAACGGGGCATCACTCTCGTTGCACTCATGGAACACTAGTGTTACATACAGCAGAATGTACCGCTTAACGTCGCGGATGAACTGGCATTTGTTGCGAATCTGTGCGCGGTCTGCCACGCCCTTGCGGGAGAAGTGCACAAACGAACAAGCGGTGGTTGTAAGCGTTCGTGCGGCGTCTGCAATGGCGCTAACGTCTGCCACACCTCGCTGCCATTGTTCCAGTGCTGTGAAGATTCGTAGCCCAAGTAAGACCGCCAGGAAGACCGACGCAGAGAGCAGTAGCTGATCTAAAGTCTCCGCGGGTAGCAGTGTCGGTTTTTCGCGCTGCAAGGCCACTAATGCAGCTGATAATGCCGCAACGACGGCTGCGCGACTAAGCGTAGAGGCGGAGGCAATGGATGAGCCGTGCGTGTGCAGCAAGAGGCGCCACAGGACGCGATTGCTGTAGTAAATCATGCTCGGAACTTGGTGCTTCGAGACTGGTGGGACTTGAGGGCGGAACGAAATGATTGTGCCCGTTTGAATCAGAACCTACATAGAAGAATAATCATACAATTTGCCAGGTGCCCGCATTCTTCAAATGCGGAGGTGTCAGCAGTGCAGTCGGTCGCTCGAGAGCGAGCTGCTCAGTGCTCCAGGTGCAGCTTCTTTAAATTTACAGCATACATTTTGTGTGTTTGCCTCACACCAAGCTTCATATCAATGTATGATTTGCTGTCTACCTCGCAGTATTGGGTGAGTCTTATGTGTTGCTCCCCACTGCCAGCGCTTCGCAGAGTATGTTGCTACTACAGAAACTACCGGCGACTTCCGCGACGCCGCCTGAGATGGGCGAGTCTGGTGCCTTTGGAGAGGACTTATACGCCAGCGCACGCTACAACCTATCGCTCCAGCAGCAACATCAACAGGAACAAAGAAGACAGCAGGCCCAGAGGAGACATAAGCTAAAGCAACGACAGCGACGCCAGCAGCAAAGGATGAAAGACAGTTTCACCGCTTCTGGGCGGTATTTTGAGGCTCACGTGGGACACACTAGTCTCGATGAGGAGAATGCAGAGTTGGAGGACAGTATGGTGGCTGTGCCCACCTATGCAGACTTGAGTCACCACGTGCAGCTGCTAACGACGCAACAGGCTCATTGGTAGGGATATATAAATGGTCTTCAGTGCTAATTATGCACTGACAAAACTATCTTGTATACAGCGCTGGTCTTCCCGTGACGACACCAGTTTGCAAGGAATGCATGGACGGCATGGTCACGATGATCGACGGGTGCGATCTTTGGTCTATTTCCTTGATTTATTGCTATACTGACTCGCATTGCAGCCAAGCTGAGCGTGCCCGATACGAGAAGCGCTGCTTCACAAGTTACCTCCACAACACGACCAATACTACTATCCACAGTGAAGATATCGAGCACATTGACGACAAGATTCGCTTTGTACGTTCAGGGTAACGAGGATACTTGCAATTAGTCCATCGCTAACCATACTATATTACTCTGAAAACATATTTAGTATGAGAATGAGCTGAATGCATTGGAAGAGAGTCTGGAGTTGATGGAGAGCGAACGTGAAGCGATTGCTCAGCAGCAAGAAGCGATGCACGAAGAGGAGAAGGCTCTCATTTACGAGGAAGCAGGGCTATGGGGCCAATTCAATGGATTGCAATTGCAAGAAACTGTGTTCCAAGAGATCCGGGACGCAGGCACGGCACAAATCGATGCAATGGAGCGGAAGGTGGCGTCGGCCAAGCATTTGAATATTCTAACAGACATGTTTGTTATCGGCTATGATGGCGCATTCGGCACCATCAACCAGTTCCGCATGGGTCAGTCAGCGGGGTCGACTTTGGAGTGGAACGAGATAAATGCTGCATTCGGCGAGTGTGCGTTGTTATTGCAGACGTTGGCGAATATGATTGGCCTAGAGTTCCCCGAGTACGTCAAATGCTTGCAGTGTCAGCTTCACTTATGCTGACGACCTCTTTTTCTGTTATTTTGCAGCTTTAGGATTGTTCCGCTGGGCAGCTTCTCAAAGGTGATCCGGACGAGCAATCTTCGCATGGAGTACTCTTTGTAAGTTGTTCTATTGTAAGGACAAAGTGTAGCTTCCGTACTTATCGTATGGTATTGGTACTTTCTGCCTTTTAGACACGGTTCGGATCAACAAAACTTCGCTGAGTCTCACTTCAACTTGGGGCTGGGTGCTTGGATCACTTGTCTAGGCCAGCTGATGGCGTTCGTTCGAGCCCGAGATCCGTCCATCCGACTGCCTTACAAGGTTGCTAAGCACTCTATCGGGGGGTATTCCGTTCTCTTCCTGAAGAACAAGCAGAAGGAGTGGACTAAGGCGCTCAAGTATGCTCTAACCAACTTGAAGTGGCTACTCACATGGGTCTCTGCTCGTGGATACAGCATCTCCTCCAGTTCTGTCGTCACGACAACTCCCAGCAAAGCTGCTCTTGCATTTGCTGCTAACCCTCCCGTTATGCGCACCACAGACGGCTCAAAGCAGAGTGTTGTCATCATGGAGCACTTCTCGTAAAGTTTTGTATTTTAGACTAAAATGAATATGTACATGTGGCAGATCGGTGTGTGTGTGTGCACGTGAGTTCATGCGTCTAACGTCTGCCTTTCTTCTTTTCTTTGTCTTCAGCTACGCTACAATTACCAGAGCGGTAAGATGTGCAAGGCCAGCCCTCGTTTCCTCGTTCCTTCCGTGTTGGTTGTCTTGTAAATATTATGGAGGTGCGGCGTCGCTCTTCTAGACCTTCCGAGTAATCGCCTAAATAGTCTCGTTGTGCCGGTGTGTACAGCTCATTCAGCAGTGGGGGAGACGGTCTCAACCGCAACCGCCTGCTTCTTTGCCGGAGGAGACAAAGCTACTTTTTTCACTGGCGACTTGTTGTCCTCAGTCTCTTCGGTCTTGTCCACGTTGGTGACAGTGGACAGCGGTCGCTTCTTGCCGAGTTTCCCGCTCAGGTCAATGCTGAGACTGCCAGACTTGGCTTTCTTGTCCACTTTCTTCTCGTCTTCCGGTTCTTCTTCAGAGCCGTCATGTGCTTCACAGAAGAAGTGCATCAGCAGACGGGCGTCTTCGGATTTAGGCTGCGGCATGGGTGCCAACGTAAGAGGCTGACCATCGCTATTCTTCATGTTCGGCAGGATCTTACGTCCACGGACAGACACAGCGAGGGAAGACGGCAATGAAGCGGAGGGAATATGCTGCGTACCCGGACCGACTCCACTACCGCTGAGTGACTCGAGGAAGCGAGTTTCCATTGCAGAAACCTCTTCACGTGCGTGTCGAATCGCTTGCCGACTGACCGGTGTGTTCTCAACGGAACGGAAGATCTGCTTGCCAATGGAGCTGTCACCTTTGAGCTTCTTGGTCACACGCATGGCCTCGCAATTCAGACGCTTGGCAAGATACCAGCGGAGAGAAGTGCCGTCTTCTACGTCCAAGAGCCCGCGCTTGAAGTAGTGGATAATGGTGTTTGTGAACGCCTCCTCCTCTGGCGTCCACTTGCCACTACGTAGACCGGGAGAGCACTTGGACTTGGTTGATCGCTTCTTCGGAGCTGTAGCCGGCATACGAGAGACCGACGTGAGCACTGCAGCGGCGTTGTTGGTTGCGTTATTGATGTGATGCCGCGTAGAATCTTGCGGCGGCTGGAGCTGTAGAGCCAGCGGGTTGTACTGCGCAATGGTGTTCTCAGTGTGCGCCAAGCTCGCGATTGCGTGTGCGACGGACGTTCCTGTGTTCATACTGGCGCTTGTGTTTGTGGTGCTCGAGCTGGCAGTGCCAGCGTTGTTGCCAACTTGCTGGCTGCTATTCACCATAGACAGCATTGTTTCGGACGGAATGGTGCTTGAATGGATGGATACGGCGTTGATGCTCGAGCCTCGACGAGTCTAGTGTGGCTTCAACTAGAGAGGAGAGTGGACCCAAATGTTCTTGTCCTTGTCGGATAGCTGCTTGCCTTGAAGCGAGTGGAGTTCGGTGCCTCAATTGAAGTTGGTGGCTCCTAGAGATTCTACAGTGAAGTGGCGAGACCAGAAGGCTTCAAGTAGAGCGCACAGAGAAGAGAGTCAGCAACACACGTCCGCCATTCAAACGCGCAGGGCCTGGAGTCTGCAGAAAAGGAACACGCTCCCTGCTGCTTTTCCTTACACACCTGTTTTTTTCACTTATGCTTTGTATGCTGCGACACCAATCCTCGGCTCGATTGGCTCAATCTGCAAACCCGCCACAAATCACAAGAAATGGATCAATCAGGTGGAAATACACAGCAAACAATGCCCAAGGATGTCTACAAACCCAGAGCCGTCACTTAAACTTACCTACTGACTTATGTAAATAGATGCGTTGATTGACCACGAACTTGCAGTCGGAAGATGCCAAAGTGAAGTTTGAGACTGATGCGGCCGACTTGACGAGGAGCTTGCTAACTGAATGCCCGACAGGAACGGTTGTAGTGGTCTTATCTCGTCGTGCTTCGACTTCGATAATGAAGGGCTTTCTTCTTCTGGTTCTGGCCGAAACTTTTTCGCAACAACTCGTGATTGGTTGAAGCAAGTTGAAGTTGTTTTTTGCGAATCGCAGACCAGCTAATAAGGACTTCAACTTGGCGAGAATTCGACAGAGAATTCAGGGAGCGGCATACTGTAGTGTACACCAGTTTGTCCTCTCTTCACAGTGCCAGTGTGGCGAGAAAAGCGTCCAGAGAGACGACGTTGTATCGAGTTTTTTTCTCCTTAAGTTGTCCGAGGCTGTGACTCAGCCCGCTAATAATAAGCGGCAATAAATCTTTGCGAGACCACTTCAAGCTCAAACTTGGAGTTTGTATGCCATGCCAACGATTGGCGGCGATTGCACAAGCACAACGCAGCGATGCTTTACAAATCATCCCGGACGTACCTACCTCAAAAGCAAGGTGAGCGTTCCCTGAGACCTTGCCTGACAAAGTCTGTAGCTGCACCAATGCTGCGAGTCGCAGCCTGCGACAGCGAACAGATTATGACGACCTCGACGGTATCAAGTTGATTCACTTTCAAGCACACTTCATGTCGGCACCAATTACGACGCGACGAGGATCGTGTCACATTTTGAAGTTTTTTTTGTTTTGTTTAAGCAGTATGGATCGAGATTTGCCCCGCTGTGACGAGTATCATAGCTGGGCATCATCTCCTTTACCTAATGGCAGTATTCTGCAATGGGCATTTTATCCTGGGTACCAGTGGGGGGCAACGCCTCCTCCACGATTCAAAGCGAGCTCGATCCCACTCAAACTTATTCGTCCGTTACACGAGCTGTTGTTATAGCCAACGCTCGTCCTCTGTCGACACAACTATTGCAACCGCTACCGACAGTGGCTCACGAGTTGCATCGGAGCTGCATATCGAGCACATGCGTTGTCGTTAGCACATAGTAGTGTTTTCCTTCGCACAACTGCGTGCAAACACGTGGTGCAGCTATTTTTCTCCCAGGTGCTGAGGCGGAACGTAAATTCGGTGAAGAAGCTCCGACTTCATGCAGACGCTTGAAGCTGTTCAGATGGTTGTTGCATACGAAATAACGTCGGGAACAATTGGTATTTATATTTGATACCTGTAGCTGTACGCGCACGTCATATCGGTAACTTGTGATGGAATAAGCACGACGAGGTCAGTGGCGTGGCGTGTTCGCGACAGCAAACTAGACACAAGCTCGGTTGGCGAGTCGGTTGAGTGTTGTTATGCGTAACTTCCGCAAGGATCCACTTGATTCATCACTCAGCCTGATCGAATACGCTCTCTCGGGCTCTAACAATGTCCCCCATACAAACATAGCACCGGTCTGAACCTGTGAGTAGCTCTGCAATTGTATCCGTCCAAGCAATTTGTGGAAGATAACCCTTGAGGTTGAAGTGGTTTGCGGCTCTTTAAGATTATCCAATCATCGAATTTAGCCAATTCGGCTAAGCTCTTGGATTGGCTAAAAGAGTCGCAAAACGATCATTTCGATACGATGACCTTGCGGACTTGCACGTCATCGTTGTTCCACAGACTCGGTCTCTCTCCATGGAAATCGCAGAGTAACTTGCTCTGAGCAACGCTTTTCGATGCTTCTGTCGTACCTCCGTATCCTCCAGTCGAGCTCACAATTCAATTCGTGCATCCAGTGGTCAGCACCACAGCTCAAGTCCAGCGTTTCAAGCCGCCGCCACCAACTCAACGTTAGCTGATCCCTAAAAGTTAAACAGCCTCCAACTCATCACTTCCTGCTAACAGCATCACATTACACTTTATCTCGACACCATGCCGTCTCAAGGTGGCAGTGGATCGCTTTTCGCCAACTTCTCGGTCGTCAATGCCACGGTCGCGCCAACGGCCAGTCCGGAAGAAGCTGCAGCCAAGCAGGCGATGCTGGCGTATTTGCTCTCTCGCTTCCACACATTGCAGCTCTTTCTACTGCTTGGCTACGGCATCATGTGTCTGCTTTGTATCATCTTGGTGATCTACTTGAGGTTCAATCGGAATACAGCTTTACGAGGTGATGCCACTGCTGCTCGAAAAATCATCCTTCCAGCGTATGAGCCATTGCTATGGGTGCTCGGATGCACCACCGGGATCTACACGGGTTTCTTCTGCTCGGCTCTGGCCACGGAGCTCTACACGTATGAGATCTCCAAGCTTGCGACTGAAGTGTTCTACTCAGGCCGTCAATTCGTCTTCCTTAGTGTCATTGTGTTCATGCTTCAGAAGAGTGTATCAGGTCCAGCACTACGACGTACGTTGATAATCACGCTGGTGTTGTCAACCTACACCATTCCACTTGTTTGGGTCTTCACAGCCTATTATCCAGCCGCCGACTTGTACGCGCCGTTAACAGCCGCACGTGCATTGCTACTGCTGCTGTACTCGTACGTACTCGTCCGTCCACCAGTTCGAGCGAGTAAGCGCACCCTACGAGAGTACTGCGTATTCGCGTACATCTACTACACGCTCTTGTTTGCATACAACGAGTGCTTTCGACAAAGTCATTTGGAGAGTGGTTTCTATCTCACGTACTCAAATCTACTGTGCGGTTCGCTCTGTCCGCTAGTGATCTGGCGTGTACTGCGTGCAGATACTGAGCACTGGCGAGGTATGGGTCAGCGCGCTGTAGCACTGCAGCGATTGTTTTGTCAAACCCGTGGAATGCCGGAGCGGGTGTCGTCCAAGGGACTTCACATTCTGATCGAAATGCACCGCAAGTTCATCATCGACTTTGCCTATCTGGAACTGCAACAGCGTATCGGAGTTGGGGCGAGTGCTGTCGTCTTCAAGGGAACACTGCGTTCATCAATTGATGTGGCGGTAAAAGTGTACACCCCCACCGATTTCACGGAAGACACGGTCGCCGCCTTCTCGCATGAAGCAGCACTTTGTGGGGCACTACACCACCCGAATATCGTCGCGTTCCATGGCATGTGCGTATGTCCGCCCACTATTTGTCTTGTCAACGAGCTTTGCGTTGGAAGTCTGGAAGACATCACTGTTGCAGCCGCAAGACGTCGATCAAGAGTGAGCGAACATGATCACAACCGTCAGCAATTGCTACTCAATGTCGCCTTCATGCTGGACGCGGCGCGAGCTGTATCGTACTTGCACAGCTTCCGCCCACCGTTCCTACACCGTGACATCAAGCCGACCAACTTCCTCGTGGATGCAAACTGCAGCGTCAAACTCACCGACTTCGGTGAGTCTCGTTCGCTTCCTCGAGCCCAAGTCGTCAGCAATGGCCTTGTCAGTGCTCCAGTTACTACACACCGGAGTAGTTTGAGCGGATACTGTGGAGAAAAAGTCTCAACTGTAGCCATGCTGGCTAGTGAGGACTCGAGTGCGAAGGTTCCAACTGAACGTGCCAGTATCGAAATTGCTGTTGTCGGAGCTGCCAATCTTCAGCAACTTCGAGGATCCTTGGTAGATGCCTCAAAACCCACTACAAAAGAGAGTAGTGACGATAACGCAGTCCGTATGACAGTCAAGGGTACTGTCGACTACATGGCCCCTGAAGTAATCAACGGACGAGCAGGACTTGCAGCGTACGGTGAAGCTGCCGATGTGTACTCATTGGGTATCACCATGTGGGACGTGCTAAATCCTGGTCAAGAGAAGTTCCCAGACGCCGGTAGTAACCATTTCCGTGTGTTTGATCTCGTCCTTGAAGGTCAGCGTCCCGAGCTGGATCCCCGACTCCATCCGAGCATTAGGGCTATCATTGAGAGCTCTTGGCAACATGACCCCAGACTGCGTCCTTCGGCACACAGTGTGGTGAGCACGCTAGAAAGCATCCAGGAAGAACTCAGTGCTGCTTTTGCACTCGAATTAGCAGATGAACTAGAAGATGCGATGCGTCTGGCTAAGCCTATCGACGCTTCAAGTGCTCCGCTTGCTGCTCCACAAGGATTCTCAGGCGAAGAGGCTATATCACACATGTGTGAGCTACAGTACGTTGACTCTATAAGCGAAGCTGTGCGTCTAGGCAACGCTCTCATGGATTCCGGTCTGCTGCATCACTGCAAGCATGCACACCCGTTCGAAGAATCTGAACAAGTGTACTTCTTTGATGATGACAACATCAACCTCTGCCAGCCACTGGTTGTTGGCGCATATACGCAAGAGCAAGCGAAGAAACTTGACGCAGAGAGTGCGACGGTCATCAGCTCGCCTTCTCGCCATTCACGTCGCACCTCACATCGCTCAGGATCTACGAACCCTTTCGCCAATTCGGGTCGTGTTCGTAGTGACAGCTCTCAATCGCAATCGGACCGAACGCTGCTTGAAAATGGCGTCTGCGCGTGCCGGAAATTGGGACAGCGTCTTAAACTGCCCAAGGCATCCAAGTCGCGACACCGGTTTCGTCGAAAAGGAAAAGGGAAAACCGGCATGAAAGTATCGGTTGTGGCTGGAGATGCGGCAGAGCAACTGCACACCAGACTACTACTCGAGTCCCCGCACGATATGCACGACTTCGATGGCTTCGATGGAAGCCCCTCCCCAGCATAGCCAACATATTTTTTTTTCAATTTTTTTTTAACTTCGGTAAGAGCATTGTCTAAATGAGACAACGTCAAACAAAATGATACTTACGAACCATTTAGAGTTATCGAAATAAAGCTGGCCAATTAATTTTCGCACTTAACAGAAACAGTGAAATTTATTGTAAACTTCCATCGAAAAAAACTGTAAAACTACCCTTATTCAATTGCTTTTAACAAGAGCTTTTAAATAACACTTAAATCTCTAAAATTGAAAAAATATTGAGCTCACAACACTCCAAAATGTATCGTCATTTCGAGGGCCCATAAATGAAGATAATATTTTTGAGCGACCACAACTTCTTCAGTTTTAAGCATTCTGCAGCTTATAAGGGCTCAAAAGATAGAGGAGACGCCCCGCTTTCGTTTAGAGTGCTTAAATCGCGATTCGTAATAAGGTTCATAAGTATCATTTTGTTTTGGGTTGTCTCAAATAGAAAAGCGATCTACACTTTTAAACCTATCTAAATTCAATTTAACCCCTCTGATAGGTTGTATCTGAAGAAAGATCTCAAATTAGTGTCGACACCAGCCGCGAGTCCCGAAAATACCACCGACCCCTCAAGTGATATCACACAAGGCAAAGGTCTCTAACACTTTTTCGCCTACAGCCTTCCAACCCGACATCTCCCGACCCCCTTTGTCCAAGGAACATGTCGACACCTGCCAATCGCGTCCCCACATCGATCCTGCGTCGTACGCTACGCGGCAATGCCGCGCATCGAGCCCCGAAACCTTCAGAAGGCAGGCTGGAAACCGGCGAGCGCTCGGCCTGGCGGTTACGCCCCACCGGGTTCGCTGCTTCGGGCGCTGGATGAAGCCATCAGGAGCGCCGGCAACGCTACAGATCTCCGACGGATAACACTACGTGAGGTGCAACGAGCTCATTTACCGACGGAAGATAAGATCAAGTTGTTCATTTCTGCTGGTCAGCTCGCGAAGTCCCACCAACTCGAGTACAATTACCAAGGAACCCCAAACGGCTACGTGGTCCGCAGCCTCGGCATCGTTGTGCGACTTCATCCGCATTCCTGGACGTGTTATTTGCTTTACGTGCACGTCACGTAACGTGGCTGTCAAGCTAAGTGGCTCTGCGGTCCGTTTTATGATATGGACTACAATATTAAGGCCGCTAGTGCCTCTGATCGGATGTACTACGTGCGCAAAAGCGTCATGTACTCTTTCTGCCATCTTCCTGAGCTTGGAACGTTTCATTTTCAGTGGACCTGAAAATGTGCCCTCTGGCCTCGACGACAGGGAGATCTACGACTTCTTCTCGATGTTATGATTCACTCGGCTGATTGCTCCAACGTACCAAGTCGGAGCACTCTTGTCTCGGGACAGGATGGTGTGGTTCCCGTCGTCAACATGCCCAAGCCCCTTATGGTGGATGACACCACTGCGCTGAGAGATATCTCTTTCAAGAGTTCCCAAGACCAGCGTTTGTACAGCATAAGAATCTTGCTCTCAGCACTATTCATCCTTTCATTGCTGCTAGAAAGACGCAGCAGGCGCAGGAAGCTTTGGTGAACCCGACTGATAACCCCATGGTACCGGGACATGAGGTGGGCCACGCCACGGCTTCCCCCTCAGTCGAAACTATGAGTGTGGATAAAACCACTGCTTCTACACCTTTTCTAGACCCAGTGCTAATGCTAGCAAAACCGGAAAGTGGCGCATCGTTCCTGGAACGGGTCGATGTTACAAGTCGTATATCGATCTCCAAGCCAAGGACCTGTCCGATGGGTACAGAGTACCAAGTGCCATCAGCCCAAAGCACGGATGGCAGAATATTTTTGGCATTCCCTGCACTCCAACCTACTATGAGATTGCTTTCAACGATCCTGACGATGAGGATGACGCGGAAGACACGGATGTTGATGTTACCGTGGACGGCAACATCGTGTCGACAACCCCCCTGAAGCCGACCCAAGCGGCTAAGCCCTTGTTTCAGCCAAATCCCTTCTACACGTACCATGAACTCACAGAACCTGAGGGTCGCTTGGCTACGATCTCAGCTCAGCCTCATGCACTACAAGTGCTATTAAACGAGGATAGCCCCCTTCTCAAAGCAGCTGTACAGGAGCATGCTGTTATGCGGGCGTATGCCGGGGCACCCTCGACCTCTTATGGCACAGACGCGAATCTGCTTACGCGCATGTATAAATATTTTGGACATCGATTCCCCCGGCCTAAGATATTCTGGCAAAAATGTACCCAGACACGGATTCCCGATACACTGCATGTGCCTTCGCACTAACCGACTTGTACCTGCGTTGCCACGCTCCAACGATTTACAATGGTCCCATTAAGGTATCCACCCTTGCTGGAATGTCTAAGTCTGAATGTTTGCAGTACTCGCAGTTTCTAATGTGGTCGGACGAAGTACTGGAGGCTATCTGGTCTGGGGACCTGGGTGAGCACTTCGATACCCACCTCCCAGCTCATGTGGAAGCTGCGGTGGGCATGTTTACGGAGGTTGATAACTCGGATGATGAAGACGATGAGATGGGAACCTTGGAAAACGAGAATGTTGAGGAGGAGCTGATCGCCACTTCCTCCCTCTAAGATGTCATGGTACCTGGATGGTAACATAACGAACGGCAACGGATTGAATGATCCAACTCTACATCTCTTTTGTCAACTTTCGTCAAAGTACTTTCTTATTGCTCTACATGGAACTAAGTTCAGCTCAAGCGATAAGGTTCGAGCTGCTACTCATCTCTCCAAAGTGGCTGATTCAAAATCAGAAGTTTATGTGTCTCACAAAAGTGACCCAAATTTCGCTGTTGATCGAGGTCGTGATGGTGCTGGACTTTTAATGTCTGGGCATCTTCCGATAGTGGACGTTACATCTGACTTAACTCAACATAACGATTGAGATATTTTAAAGCACCACTATTTAGTAGTGCGTGCGGCTATAGATGATTTTACTGTGTATTCTCACGTGGTATACGTACCAATTACATTGGCTAAGCGGAAAGTTTTTTTTTATTCACTACGGACAAATATATCGACTGACAGTCACCACCTTGTTTTAGGAGATTTAAACGTCCCTTTAGATGCGATGCTGGATGAAGTTTTTCCTTATGGCCACAACATAGGAAAAATGAGCTTCAATCATGGCAACTAAGATTAGGTGTCATTGACGCCTGGAGAAATGCATACTCTGACCGACGAGAGATTACAGGTCCGGGTAGGCGTAACCGGACTGCCCAATGTTTTCTTTCAGCCACACTGCTACTGGACTATATGAAAGGATTGCACACGTTACCGATAAGAAATTCCAACATGAAGACCACTTGCCGATTAGGTTTCACCTACAATCCTCCGATCACCCACAAAGAGCACCGCTTCCTTGGAAATGTCCGCGATAGATTTTAGAAACCCGGTTGTGCAGAGGGTTCTTCACGGTACGCTGAATCAGCTGCTTGATCGAATGCGCTGTAATCGCAATGACAACCCAGGGGCACTGTTAGATGAGCACAAGCGAGCCGATTCAATATTTCTACGTCATATGGTACAAACGCTTAAGAATAAGGAAGTAGAAAGCCTGACCCTGCTGAAGCAAAAGCTGTATAATGCTGAAGTAGACCTTACCAAAATGCCAAATGTAGCAAATTGACTACGTGTTACTTCCACGAGAGCAGATCTCCAAGCGCTATTCTCTGTTTCAAATTCCCGCCGAGAACAAGCCAAATTTGATGATGACGTGAAATGTGGAGAAACTGGGAATAAACACTTCCTCCGTAGCCCTTTTCACCCCGATATGAATGTGGCAAGCCTAGCGTGACGTTATATGATGGCACAACCGCTGCACAGCCGGGAATGATGGAAGCGGCTCAAAAAACATTTTGGGGGGAGTTTTCAGAGCCCATCTATCGATTTAGAGCCCAATATTTCGAAACGTCACTTCTCTCCTATTGGATTATTGGAGAAGCTGGAGCATACAACAGCGCGAGTTTCAGTTCTCGATAAACCGTATCTAGATTCTCCAAATAGTTTCTACTGGGCGATCAAAACCTCAGGAAAAGGGAGATCGAGTGGGTTAGATGGTATACCGGTGGAATATTATCAACTTTTTCCAGATAAGTGGGCTCAGGTGTATAAGCTAGTTTACGCTTCTCAATTAAAAAGGGCGTATGAAGAAGTTTCACAGACGAGCTTATATTTCATTGCTGTACAAGAAAGGCGATTGGCCGCTTCCAGGAAACTATTGGCCACTCACCTTACTCAACCATGACGCGAAATTTGGACCAAAATTTTTATCGTACCGACCTCGATCTATACATCCGAAGTTGTTACACCCTTACCAGTTTGGATTCACACAAGAAAGATCTATTCGGCACGCGCTAATAGCCTTGCAGGATTTGCAGTAATAGTATTTATTCGGCACACGCTAATAGCCTTCCAGGGTTTGCAGCAATATGCTACACACGCTGGTCTAACGGATGCTGGGACTGTGCTATTGGACTTGCAAAAGCATTTGATAGCGTTATGTGGCCTGCTTTAGATTTGATTTTACAGCATTACGGATTAGGGGAAACATTTTGTAGCTCTGTGCGAACATTTTATATAGGAAATATCGTTACGGAATCGGTAAATGGAACTGCAAGCAACTATTTCGAGCTTGGATGCGGAGTGCGTCAAGGAGCCCACTGTCTCCTGCATTATTCGTGTTTTTCGTGGAGCCTCTTCTCTGTTATCTACGAATTAAAACTAACCACTTAGGAATTTTCTCCCTAAGCCACAATCACCGCGTCACACTTTTGCATTTGCTGATGATTGGACAGGGATACTGAAGCATTTACGGCACACCCGGAAATTTGTAACTGCGGTAGGCGACTATGTCGAGAGTGCAGGACTGACGCTCAATGCAGATAAATATTGTACTCTCTTTTCAGGAGCTGGATAACGACGTCAGGATCCTGCTGCAAGATAACCCCTTCTATGTCGTTCCGGATGATG